GAACCCAGGACCTTCTTGCTGTGAGGCGTCGGTGCTAACCACTGAGCCGTCGTGCCGCCAAATTTCAAGGTGTTTAGAAGAGGAAGTGATGAAAAGATACGTTTATTTTCTATTTAAACATAAAAACAGCATTTTAATAACAGCTAAAGGTGACATAGATACTTTATTATGGTATAGTATTTAAATGTATGCCTGAGAAACACATAATATTGCCCCTTTAAAAGAAATGTTGGCTGGACTGTAGCGCCACCTGCTGGGCAAAAACTCCCATCAGCCTCTCTGTTTACATTGATTACATCAGGTGAGTTTCAGACACTTTATTTTACACATTTAGTGACATATTTCTATAAAAAAATCAAAGTAAATAAAATAAAACAGCCAGTCAGGGAACAGCAACAACATCCAGTTTATTTTTCTTAGTTTAGATGCAGAACAAGAATCACATGATCACATTTCCAAACAATTTATTTAAATAATTAACTTTTAATAAAGAGCCTGTTTATTCATCAACATAATCAGCAAGACTTTTATTCTGAAGGAGACTATTTCGGATTTAACTTATTCATCAGCATGATCAGGAGGGCTTTTATTCTGAAGGAGACAATATTGTAATTGTTTTTTTTAATCAGTAAAACTGATCGCTCTGACTTTCTTCACCAGTTTGATTTGATTTATTTAAAAACCTGAACAGTTTCAGAAATTAAACCGAATTTTTTCATTTAAAAACTGGAGCAAAGAAAAAAAAAACATTTAATTTTGCTTGGCCAAAAATTCATCCAATCAAAAAGTTGAAATCTTTAAATATCCAATAGAAACAGTTCAAGCTAATGTCAGAGTTTTCTGTTAGCAGGTCGACCTCAGGATAAAAACCACTTCCTGTTTGGACACAACAACGACACGATTCACGATTTATCATCACTTTTAATACTGACCATCAAAACATTTCCACGGTAAAATCCACAGACGAAAACTGATCATCTTCTACATTTAGACACAAAACCTGATGAAGTTAAACACAAACTGTTTTTTTTTACGACACAGTGAAACAGGTGTTGAACATCAGTTTTTTAAAGATATCTTTCACTTGATTTGATCCAATTTAATTTTATATTTTCACCTCAAATTCAGACTAGATGCGGTCCCGCTCTGCTCTGATGTTCGCCGCCGTTTGTTTGCAACTTATCAGGCGTCTGCCTCACTCCGGTCCACTCCGGTCTGACAAGCATGTGCATAAAACGTAAGATTGTGTGATAAATCCAGATAAACGTGGAAATCACAGCAAAACAATTCATTCTGTGGAAGACGGACTCCAAACAGCTGAAACTGTATCGTTGTCGTCTTTTTGAAACTTCTGATTTCAAAATAAAACCCACGTCTGTTCATATGCTGCACGCTACATGTTGCCATCTGCTTCCCAAACAGAATGATTAATGTCGACAGCATTTGTGTAGAAATATATCCATATATTTATTAATATCGCTGGAATTTTGACAAAATTTGTTAGCCTTTTTTATTATTTTGAAAATACGGATGTGGTGCGTGTGCCTTTTCCTGTTTGTGTGACGTAAGCTGTGTCCAAAACGACAGGCCTGGTCCTCCGGAGGACCCGGACTACCCTGTCGAGGTGGGCCGGGTCCTTGGTAGACTGGGAAGACGGGAAAAAGGAGGCTGTGAATTTGGACGGTCTAGCCTCCCGTCCTTACCCCGGCGTACGTCAAATCACCTAGCAACTGTGACGACGCTAAACAAGCAAACTTAAATCAAAATTAGAAAAATATCAATACATTAGCATTATTAATATCACAAAACTATAAAAATTAACTTAAAGGTATCATTTGAAGAACTAATTGACCCGCTGTAGGTTCATGTTTATTTCCGCGGTTTTTTATGACAAAAATAATATTTAAAAACATGTCCATGCAAATGATAAAAGTATTAGAATTACAACCGCTAATTTTTTTTAATTTTTATATCACCATATTTTTATTTAAAATGTATTCTTTTCTCTCGCTTCGTCCGCCATTACTAGCATAAAAAAATCTCCGGTCGGGCCGCAAAGCATTATGGGATATGCTGGGCCGGGAAGSATCCATCAGACCTGTCCTTCGATTCGGGCCAAAGGAAGGACGTATTTGTCGGCCGCATCGGAGGAGTCTTTGGTTTTGGACGTCCTTCGTCGCGGCGCTGTGACGTATGCGGCCGACAAATTCGGCCTTCGGAGGACCCGTCCTGCCGTTTTGGACACAGCGGTAATCTTTGTAGATTGACTCCGACGCACCTCTGGCATCCAGCAAAAATAGAATGGAATCTAATTTTGCAGAGCCACTAATACTAGTACCAGTAATACTCTCATTGGTTTTAATGTATTTACTGCGGCGGTCGGACCGGAGCATCTAGAGTAAATTTAGGATCAGAGTTTAGAGCCATAAATACATAAAACATTTCAATCCAACCCTGATTCCTACTTCATCTACGTCACGTCTAATACAATATTTAAGGATTCCATGAGTTTGAGGGTAAAAAACATCACTTCACGACATCGACATGCATCACGATTTGTGTTTTTCTGCTCAGATCTACTGGAGACGACGACACGAGCTTTGAGGATGTGGTTGACGTGTTGGAGGTGAGGCGGGGTCTTCAGGCCCTCAGGAGGTGAGGCGGGGTCTTCCGGCCCTCACAGGATGCTCTCACGCTCCTCGCTGAAGGTCACGGTGTCGGATGACACGGTGCAGATCTCCGGCGGGTCTCCGGGCTTCAGGCCCCTCTTCAGGTGGACCACCCTGACGTTCTCGTTGTTCGGGCCGGGCCTGGTGGTGGAGCTCGGGGTGATGATGACGTCACCGGCGGTGGTTTTGTCGGAGGAGGCGGGGCCCTCGGCGGGTGGGCGGGGCCGGTTGGTGTTGTTGTTCAGTGTGACGTTGCTCGGCGTGCAGTTCAGGTTGTAGGACTTGGAGGAGGGCCAGCTCTCCTCGGGGCTGCTGGCCAGCAGGCTGCACTGGTCCTCGGAGCAGATGGACATGCGGGTCACGGCGGGGTCCTGCAGGCCGCTGAGGCTGCTGGGAAGGCCGCGCTTCCTGGCGGCGCCGTCCTCGTCCAGCTCGATGAGGTCGGCTCGCTCTAACTGCGACAGGTCCGCCTCCTCGTCCTGCAGCGAGTGGTTCGGGGAGCTCTCGTTGGATCGGACGCCCGAGTCGGACGAGTCCTTCTTGTCCAGCATGGCGTCGGACAGGTAGTCCTTCCCCTTCAGCGCCAGCGAGCCGCTGGGTAGCTTCGGATCCACTACTTTCTTGCCGTCTTTCATCAACGGAGGATTGTCGGACTCTTCGGACTCCTCGTCGTCGCTGGTCAGCTTCTGGTACCTCAGCCCGCCGCTCGCCTTCACCTTCAGGTCAGCGGCGCCCTGGAACAGCCCGCCTCTCTCCGCCGACAGTTTGCGGGTCAGCAGGGACTTGGAGGACCCGTGGTCGCCCTTCTCATCCTCCTCGGTAATCGGGTCGAGCCCGTCGCCGTTGGAGGTGAAGTCGGTGCCGTCAGCTGCCGGTTTGGCGCCGCTCCTCTTGTTGAAGGACTTGCGTCCGTCTTGCTCGTCCTTGCTCTTGTCCTCGGATGACGTCATGAACTGTCCTGGCTGTGGTTGGACGGGCCTCTCTGTGGCCCCGCCCATCTCCAGCGTGGCCATCTGGGCGATGTATTCCTGGTAGGCGCTGCGGTACTCCGCCTGCTGCTTGTCCGTCAGCCTGGAGATGTCGTTGGAGGACTCCTGGGAGTTCAGGCTGGTCATGCTGGCGGTGCGGTGAGCGCCCCCCTGAGGACAGACGACATGTTAAAGCGACCGCCTCCTGAAGGAGAGCTGGTTCTGTCGGATCGAGTAAGGGGTCTCTGCGGTAGGTTTTGTCCTGTGGGCGGAGACGGCCCTACTCGTGATTGGCGGAGGTTTCGATGTGGGCGGTGATGGCCCAAGAGACGTGATTGGTCAGATTGACGGTGGGGTTTGAGGAGACTGGAGGCAGCGGGGAGTAGCTTGATCGAGTCGGGCAGGAAGCAACACGTTTTTTAAGATTAATTTTAGTCATAACTTGAGAAAGGAAAGCGCTAGTTGCACAAAATTTGAATGTCGTACGTGTGAAAAGATGTGTGACAATATGGCTTGGTTAAAACACCTCTAACCAGCCTGTAAAAAGATCCCTTCCTCAAGTTATGACTAAAATTACCATATTTATTCATGTATAATACAATCTCATGTATAATACGACTCCCCCCTTTTTGAGCTTAAAAAGCATAAAATTTTAATCCTCAAACTACCTCCAATTTCATACAGACTTCAAGATTTTTCAGCCTTTGCAGTCTTTATACATATTAGTAAAATGATCATTGGACTGTTCGTTTTATTTTAACATCATATGTACGAAAAGGTATTTTGACAAAAAATATATATCAGCTGTAGCAGCATCATATGAATTCTGGCATTTTACACATAGTCCACCAAGAGGCGCCAACACAAAAGTCAGAGACTTCACATGAGATTTGGACCATCTTGTGGGGGAAAAGCAGCTTACTTCCTACTCGTGCGCACAAAGTTTCCCCCTCTGGTGGGGAAACTTTTTTTCAGGGATACAAACTTTTTCATAACACCAGTAGACGGCAGCCATTACAGGTGAACATGTGTTTGTTGTTGTTCGAGGAGCGGCCCGGTCACACACTAATGTCATTAGTTTGGTATCATTACTAAGGTGCAGGACTGCCTTTTTTTCTTTTATTTCACATCATGTCGCCTGCCTGGATCTGTTATTATCTCGCTCTGAAGCACGGAGGAGTGTCGGAGGTGAGCTTGTTTCAACTGCTTTTTACGTCATGGTCTCATTTCCGGACTCAGGCATTTTGTGAATGAAGCCGATACTTCAGTTAAAATACATAAGTAAAAATATTTATCAGAGTATAGTACTACCCCCCAACTTTACGGATGATTTTATGGATTTAATTTTACGTATTATACTTGAATAAATACGGAAATCTAAAAAAAAAAAGTTACTTCCTGCCTGACTCAACCAAGCTACTCCCCGCTGCCTCCAGCCTCATACCCCACCAGCAATCCGACCAATCATACCTCTTGGGCCGTCTCCACCCACATCAAGACCTTGACCAATGACGATTTGAGCCGTCTCTGCCCACAGGACAACACGTTCTGCAGAGACCCCTACTTGGTCGGATCAGTGGAGGGCGGGGTTTACCATCCACGCCACGCTCCCGTTGCGCTGCGGCTCGTCCAGCCCCACGCCGCTCAGCTCCTCGAAGCTCAGGTTGAAGCTGTACATCGCGTCGGCATTGGCGGCGCCGGCGAGGTGCGGAGCCATCGCCCGCCTTCCCAGCTCCACGTGACCGCCCACCACGCTGCCTTGCTCGCTGGCGGTTTCCTCGTGCAGCACCTGGCTCTCGACGTGACGCAGCTCCAGAACCTGGAAGCAGACAGAGGGTCAAACCTGGAACTGGTATTAAAAAGAACCGTTTGATGTTTGTGTCCGGACCATGGCCCTGAAGAGCTGCCAGTCTCCAAAGTTCATGTTCATCTCCTTCTTCAGCTCGTCGATGTTGCACTGAGACAGAACTCTGCCGTTCACGTTGGCCTGAGACCAGAACAGGGAGGAGAGACGAGTTTTAGTTTCAGGTTTCTGGTGTTGCTGCGTGTTCCTCGGCTGGTTCCCCTCACCTTCCGGATGGTGGCGGTGTACTGCCCGACGATGCTCTGGTCAATGCCTTCCATCTGCCGCACGCGCTCACAGATGGCATCTGTCGTCATGGAGCTGAGGAGGAGGGCGGGAGCGCCGGACACGACGGAGGCGGAGCCCTGAGTTAAACAAGTTAAATTCAGGTTTTATTTAAAAAAAAAGTCAACTAGAAGTTCAACCTTGTGTCACAGGCTAACAAAAAGCTAAAACCAGAAAGCCGTATGGGCCTAATGTTCACCTGCCACCCTTCATGCATATCATCTGTTAGCTGTGGCAGCCATCTTGAATTTAATTGACCCAATGATGTGTTTTAATTAAAATACTAAAATACTGTCAAATAAAGCAGGTGGTAGTTTCAGATAAGGTGCGTGAGTTTTTAACGGAGCAGTAAAAAGAAACAAAACTACGACTGTTCTTCATCATCATCATCATCAGTTTCCTGCTCTGTAACTTTAAGGTAGAACAGAGTGAGAGGAACAAACAGGTGCAGGTGGTCCAGGCAAGGAGCATGCTGGGAGACGTGGTGGTGAAACAATCGTTTTTAGGTCCACAGCAACAAGCTGAGCTGATTTATACATGCTGAGTCAGTATTCCCGTCACTATTTCCTGTTTCGAGGTTCTTCTGCTCACCGTTTGGGCTATGACTTCCTCAGCAAACGTTCAGCTATTTGAACCTATCACAGCTCTGATTTTTGACAGAATTTTTACATTTTAAAATTGTTAAAGGAGACCAATTATGGGTCCTAGAAATGTTTATGGTATGTCTGTGGGCTATCCAGACCATCTTCATTCAATTTAATGCACAAAATAATTCTCAGATAATAAAATTTCCCATTTTCTAGTTCTGCCTGCTCTGACTTCTGTTCAGAAGAGCTGTTTATGTTAATGAGCTCTGTTGGTAACGCCCTCCAAAAATCTGTTGACATTAACTCCGCCCTCCAAAGCCAGCGTTTACGTTAGCATGGCTAATAATAGCAGAAGCTCCGTTGTACAACCATATGAGACCCAGAGGCAGAGTCGTGGTCACAGCTTTTTTTGTTTTTCTCCCTCCTCTGCTCTGCGCTCACTCTGCATGCTGTTACCAGAGCAGGGAGCAGCAGCGGTCAAAATACCTCAGAAACTCAAGGCTTTAATAAGCTAAACAATAGAGGTACATGAGAAAACGTGTTCATCACGAATGAAAATAAATAAATAATTAAATTGTGTCCGTGCCGCTCTCTGGACCAACACTCTACCCATTGCCGTATTGGAGGCTTGTTGTGAAATGAGCTGCACATTGCACAACAACACGGTGACGACTTTTTATACTGAGGAGGTGGAGCTTCACCCGGGGGTTGCTAGGTAAGGGGCTGAACGCAGGTTCCGGTGGGTTGTCGTACAGCTTGTGACATCACAAAATGACGGAAGTATAAAACTTGTCGTTAAAATACATTAAAAATACATTTACTTACAGTAAATATACCCCTGGGTGCATTTTTTTGGTCCTAGGACTGTTTTTTTTAGAAGTACATACCCAAAGTTGAGTAAAAAAACCTTTAAAAAGTGAATTTTGCATAATAAGTCCCCTTTAAACTTTTTAACACTGAAAAGAAGGGAGAATTCAGAAATTTTACTGAAGCGCCTTTGCTTCATTTTTAGCTACCGCTTTGCTAGTTTTAGCTTTCGTTTTTAGCTGCTGTTTCGTAGATTTTTAGTTTTCCACTCTCATTTATTAAAAAAAAAACCTCATTGTTTGCTGTGGACATAAAAAGGAAAAACGGACAGCTGTCAGGAAAAGTTCAGTACCTGCTTCTTTTTTAAAGATGAGTTCTTAGACTGCAGACAGACAGACAGACAGACAGACAGACAGACAGACAGACAGACAGATGGGGAAAACATCAGGAGAACACAGATGAACCATGTGACACAAACAGGAAGTGAATCTGGCTGATAGCAGCAACAACCACAGAAGAAGAAAAGTAGAAAGTTTGAGTTTTATTGAGAAGAAATTTGAAAAAAACAAACAAACAAACAAAAAAAAACTGTGTGAAAATAAATCCTGTTGTCTAATGTTTACTTTACCATTCAGGTAAATCAGCCTTTTATTTTCAACCATGTTTTAGTTTTTTATATGTGCTGTCTCAGTAGTTACATTAAATATCTGATCATCATCATTGTTGGTGTTAGTTTTTGTTCTTCTGCTGCCCTGAAGTCAAAAAGTCCCAGAAGGTCTCATGGTTAGGACTGAGGACCTGTGGGTCATTTTGACCCCAGGGCAGCAGGAGGTTGATTAGTAGTTAGTTCTCTGAAGGTTCCTGCAGATGGTCGTACTTACGGCGGCGTCTCTGCTGACGGGTTTAGAAGGCGGGCGTTGATGAAGGTGTGGTGGGAAGGAGGCCACAAGTGGGCGGGGCAGCTGGTAAAGGTGGTGGGGGAAATATGGCTGAGGGGGGTGGAGGTGGGAGGAAGAACATAAAAAATATGAAAAATGTTCATGGAGGCGCGTCAACATAAAATAACTCAAACTGGGGAGGAAATCTCTGCTGCTGCATCAAACGGAACACCTGAACAGGTCAAAAGTCACAGGAGAACATCTGAGCCACCTGATTGGTTCTGAGTGAAGAGCTCAACTCTGATTGGATGTCAGCTGATTGGTTGTTTGCATGTGGCAGCAGAGATTCAAAACAGGTGAAAAATGATTCAAAATGAAACAAACGATGGAAGCGAACCAGGAGGAAGTGACGATGTCATCACTCTGACAGTGGGCGGGGCCTGCACTCACCCTATTGTAGAAGGGGTGCTGTGGGCCGGCCATGCCGCTGTAGACCACGCCCCCTGCCGGCGGGTTGAACGGGCCGCTGAAGGAGGCCGACGGCGAGCAGGTGGACGACACCTGGCTGTAGACCGAGGTGGGGCGGGGCTGAACCTCCAGCAGCGGCACGGCCGGGTACGTGACTCCGCCCACGTTCATCTGCTCCCGGGCCGCACGAACATCTGGATCAATAAATATTTAAATATTAGAGACATCTGTTTTAAGACGTCTTCTATCTGGACAGACATGGATCTGAAGTCCGGCTCCAGGGACAACCGTTGGGTCTCACCTGCGATGATCTCTCTGAGTTTGGGGTCCAGGTTGACCGTACACGGCAGGAAGGTCCGGATGTCTCTGGCTGTCAGGACGGGCGTCCGCGAGGACAGGAAGACCTCGAAGCTGCGGATGTCTCCGTCGATCTCCAGCAGCGGTTCCACGTCTTTGGTGGTCGGGATGTTCTTGGACACTCTGAGGAACAGAAGACATCAGCTGCAGTCGGACCGGTTCTGGCTCAGGTAGACCAAAGCGGCTGTGACCTCTGACCTCTCGTAGATGGACTTGAGCGTAGCCTGGTCGGGGACGCCGTCCGTCTCTTCCAGGTACAGGATGATCCAGGAGGTCCTGTAGGGCCACTGCTCTGTCAGGTTGATCCAGGACGCCAGGCGGTCCCAGCTGAAGCTGATCTGATTGGCCCTCAGGAGACGACCTGGACACAGGAAGAGGCGTGGTTAACTGCGGCCGGAACCCGGTCAGACCTGGAGGAGGAGGAGGAGGTCCTGGTTCACCTGTGACAGAGACGATGTTCAGCAGACGCCTCATGGACTGAGGGCTGATGTCACTGAACCAGTCCTCCGTCACCATCAGCTTCGTCAGGTCGAAGGACATCTGACGGGTCACGGAGCGCTGCACCTGCCGCCGCCGGTACGTGTCCTGGAGCCGCACAACACGGGTCACATGACCACAAAAACCACACAACATGGGTCACATGACCACAAAAACCACGCAACATGGGTCACATGACCACAAAAACCACACAACACGGGTCACATGACCACAAACACTGAACTGACTGAAGCCTTTGATCATTTTTATCTCATCTGAATCATACGATAAAAATCAGAACAAAAAAAAAAAAAGGAAGTGGGTGGGGCTAAACTAGGAAGTGGGCGGGGCTAACGTCAGAATAAATTCGGGAAAAAACCTGTTCTGTGGAATAAAAATGGAAACTCTCCACGGGTCACATGACCACAAGGAAGAACTGATGGTCCAAAAAATTTTTGATATGATTGGAATAATGAAAAGAGGACTTGGGCGGGGCTAAAGTATTATGTGGGCGGGGCTAAGGTCAGAATAAATTAAGGAAATTGTCTATTTAGGTGAAAAAAGGAACTTAGATATCTTGGCATGTCCTAAATGTGCAGGAAAAAAGTTTTTAAATATGAAGTTTTAAATAAAAAAAGAACAAAGTCTAAACTAAAGGAAAAGATCCATAAATGTTTAAAAATGTGACCTTTTTCCTGCAAAATTAAGAGATTTTTTTAACAGAAATATGACATCAATGCTGGAATTTCCGACATCTTTCCATGATTTTTTTTCCACCAGCTCCTTTTCTGAATTTATTTCCTTCAAACTTCAGCCAGTTCTGTTGAATAAAAACAGAAACGGTCCACCTTACCCTGCGGTTCAGAGTCGATTTGCTGCCAAACTTTGTTAACTCTCCCAAACTGTGCTGAGAAAGTTTCCGGTCCAGTTCTTCGTGCCAACCGGCTGAAAACAACAAAAACCCGTTTTGTTAAAACCGAGCTGAGAAACAGAGCGACTGTGTTGTGTTTGGTTGCCACGGTTACCTTCAGAGTTGGCGGCGTCCCCGTTGGTTGGCGCTGCGGCGGCGCACATCTTCCTGGCGCTGGAGAGCCCGCGGCTGTTGAGGAAGACGGGCAGGTGGACGATGTTCCTCATGTAGTCGTGTCCGTTGATGTTGGAGTCCCGCAGGACGCTGTTCAGGTTCTGGTTGATGGCTTTGATGATGATGTGCGGGTCGCTGGCGAAGATGGAGATGAAGGGGCCTTTGGAGAACAAGACTCGGACCGTGTCGAGCATCTGCAGGACTTTGTCCTGTTCGCACGAGTCCAGGCCGTCGATGACGACCACCAGCCTCGTCTGATGCTGCGTGAAGCTGTCGATGGTCTTCGCCATCCTCGCCATCAGCTCCACCTCATGCTTCAACACCTGGGAGACCAAATCAGGTGAACCCAAGCTCAAACCGCTCGCTCTGTGTTGTCGAAAAGGCCACGGCCCCTCACCTTCATGAAGCCCTCGCTCTTCAGTTTGGTCATCCTGTTGGCGGCGCCGTGGAGTCTCTTCCTCTGCGAGTTCAGCACCGAGTCGGTGACCTGCCACCAGGTCCTGCAGTTCAGCAGCACGGCCAGCCCCACCACGCTGCCCACGGCGATCTGGACCGCGTTCACCGTCTGGTTCTCGCTGTCCACCTTGAAGATGACCAGCAGCGACATGCCGGCCACCAGGCAGGCCAGGACGAAGAGGAAGAGGATGAAGGACGGCAGGCAGCACGTCCTCTTCCACTTCCTCTTTCCTGCAGGAAATGACCCAAGAGAGTGAAAACAGCTGATTAAATTTAGCTTTAACAACAATGGCTTGTGCTGCGTAAGTTTTAGGTTTAATCAAAGATTCTGTTTGTATTAGCTTCTTGCTAAGCTAGTGCTAAAACAACTGTTACTAGCAAGGTTTTGTTACTTTTAGCTACTGAAGTCCTAATTTGATCTTTAAGCATGATTCTGCTTATTTTAGCTTCTTGCTACACTAGTGTTTAGCCAACTTTTGTTTTTAGCAAGGTTTCTTTACTTTTTATATTTCTGTGCAAAATTTAGCTTTAAGCAACAATGTTGATGTATTAGCTTCTTGCTAGGCTAGTGTTTAGCTAACTTATTTTTAGCAAGGTTTTGTTACTTTTAGCTATTGCAGTCCTAATTTTAGCTTTAAGCATGATTCTGCTTATTTTAGCTTCTTGTTAGGCTAGTGCTTAGCCAACTTTTGTTTGTCGCAAGGTTTTGTTGCTTTTAGCTATTGCAGTACTAATTTTAGCTTTAGGCAACTTTTGTGTTTATATTAGCTTCTTGCTTGGCTAGTGCTTAGCCAACTTTTGATTTTAGCAAGGTTTTGTTACTTTTTATATTTCTGTGTTAATTTTAGCTTTAAGCAACAATTCTGATGTATTAACTTCTTGCTAGGCTAGTGTTTAGCTAACTTATTTTTAGTAAGGTTTTGTTACTTTTAGCTATTTCTGTCTTAATTTTAGCTTTAAGCAAAGTTTGTGTTTGTATTAGCTTTTTGCTAAGCTTGTGCTAAAACAAATTTTGCTAGCAAGGTTTTGTTACTTTTAGCTATTGCAGTCCTAATTTTAGCTTTAAGCATGATTCTGCTTATTTTAGCTTCTTGTTAGGCTAGTGCTTAGGCAACTTTTGTTTTTCGCAAGGTTTTGTTGCTTTTAGCTATTGCTGTGCTAATTTTAGCTTTAAGCATGATTCTGTTTCTATTAGCTTCTTGCTAGGCGTGTGTTTTGCCAACTTTTGTTTTTAGCAAGGTTTTGTTAGTTTTAGCTATTTCTGTCCTAATTTTAGCTTTAAGCAAAGTTTGTGTTTGTATTAGTTTCTTGCTAGGCTAGTGTTTAGCTAACTTATTTTTAGCAAGGTTTTGTTACTTTTAGCTATTTCTGTCCTAATTTTAGCTTTAAGCAAGATTCTACTTATTTTAGCTTCTTGCTAGGCTAGTGCTTAGCCAACTTTTGTTTTTAACAAGGTTTTGTTACATCTAGCTATTGTTGTGCTAATTTTAGCTTTAAGCTACTTTAGCTGAAAAGCGAAGTCCCTTGCGTGTCCTTGATCTTAAAGCTACTCAGTTGCTTCATTAGCTTAAAGCTAAAATTAGCTTAAAGTTACTCAGTTGCTTCAGTACCTTAAAGCCTCTGTAGCTTAAAGCTAACTTTAGCTTTAAGCTACTGTAGCTGAAAAGCTAAGTACCTTGCATCTCCTCGGTCAGTAGCTTATAGCTACTCAGTTGCTTTATAAGCTTAAAGCCCCAGAAGCTTAAAGCTAATTTTAGATTTAAGCCACTTTAGCTGAAAAGCTACATACCTTGTGTCTCCTCTGTCTTAAACACTCTGAACAGACGTGTGGCGAGGAAGCCGAACTCTCTCTCGCAGGCGTCCGACAGCGTCGCGATCATCTCGGCCATGGACGTCTCTCCCCCGACGCTGGAAAGGCGGTTGTAGTCGGTGAACAGGAACCTGCAGGAGAGGCCGGTCCAGCATCAGTTTCAGGAGATCCGCTCTGTTTTAAACCTCAGGACCATCAGCCGTACCTGACAGGTAGAGCCCTGGTGCTCTGCTCCGGCAGCTCCGGCGGGTTGACGAACATCAGCTTCAGCAGCAGCTCCAAGTAGCCGATGTGGCGAGCCAGACGGGTGCTGAGGAGCCACGCCCACGTCCAGTTCTCGCCCTCCCTGCGCCCTCCGAAGTACACGACCACTGTAGATCACACAAACACCTGACGTTTCAAAACACTGAAGTAGAGGAACTAAAGCTGAAATCTGCTGAGGTGGTAAAGCACACACTGGGTTGTACCAGCAGACTTTAAGGCAGATGGAAAATAATTATTGTCTGCCTGACCGAAAACATTTTCTCTGTTCCCAAACAACTGATAACAGACTCGTCTCCCACCCACATGACCTTGAGGCTGTGGATCTAATTTCTCCTGGTGTTTACGTTGACTTGTAGCTCCTCCCCCACCTCTCCTACCTCTCCCTCCGTCTAATCTGATCTCCTGAAGGTCAGTCTGGAGCTGCACAGAATGAACAATTCAACACCAGTATTCTGAACTATGGCTGAACTATGAGTTTTTCTTTGGGAGGTTCGATTCTTTGGACTCTTTCCTTCTAAACTCACTCACTCCTCTGGCTAATAGATGTGCTTTAGCTTTGTAGAGGTTTTTTTTTTATAAACACCATAGTGTTTCATATTTCGTTGGTATAAATATGATGTTTTGTTTTTTTTCCTCATATAACCTTCTGTGGTATTTTTGTTTTTCTTTTTAAAGGTAGTGCGACCCCTGCTGGTTGTTGCATGACATGATCATCTGTTCCCCTCATGTTTTTTGTCATGTGTGTCTTCTTGAATGGGTGTTCTTAAATGTAATTTCATTGTGCTCTGTACAATGACAATGAAGGCATCATCAATCAATCAAAATCAACAAAAAAAACAAACAAACAAAAGCTCACCACATAAAATGTAAAGTACAGACAGCAGGGTCAGGGACATTGCAATGGCGAGTTTTGGTTCGATGGTGAGGCCGAGGACGATGGCGACGGAGCCACAGAACAGCAGCGACATAAAGACGGCGAGCCAGGAGAACTGTAACAATGGCTCGATCTGCTGCCCTGCGAACGTCTTCATCTCATCTGAGGAGGAGGAGGAAGAGAGGCCTTAACTCGTGCCCACCAGGCGTGTGCATGTGTGCATGCGCACATGGACTCACCCTCCAGCTTTTTGAGCAGGAAGGACTTGCCGCTGCCCCACTGGGCGTACAGACCCACGCAGATGGGGGGCTGCATGGTGGGTTCACTCAGGATGTCTGCCAGAGCAGAGCTGTACAGGTCGTAGCCCAACATGTCTCCGTCCGTCTCTGTGGGGGACAGGTGACCTGCGGGGGGCGGGGACACGTCAGGTGAGCACGAGGAAGACAAAAACAGAAATAAAGTCAAGACAAGCCTTACGGGCTCCAAAGATCTGGGTGAGGATGCTCTTCTGGTGGCTGCAGTCGATGTTGTATGGCGTCTCCCCAGCCTTGTTGGGGCGGTACAGCAGGCGGCCATCTTTGGGGTTACGGAGCAGGAGCTCGGCCAGGCGGCGGCTCCGCCCGCGGATGGCGATGTGGAGCGGCGTGTCTCCTTTCTGCACAAACAGAACGAGGGCTGAGTGAAGCGAAAAGGACGGTCGACATATTTGTTTTTTAGATTAGCAAAAGTTTGTTATTTATACCAATTTTTCTAAAATGAAATCATTTTATGGTAAATTATTTATAGTTTAGTAAATAAAAGATGTCCCACCTTGTCCACGGCTGACACTTTGGCTCCTTTATCGAGCAGCAGCTCCACGATCTCTATGTTCCTCATTTTTGTAGCTTTGATCAGAGGCGTCTCCCCGTCCTGAAACAGAACCCATGAAGATTAAAAACACCTGCAGCCTTCATCAAACGTGACTCAGTTTAAAAGGTTTACAGAGATTCATGCTGGGATATAAAGCGTCACTTGATAAATGCTGATATCAGGTTGGTTTCATTTAAGTCTTTTGTCTTGAGGAACCACGTCTGAAATCCTTCAAAGCACTGAATTGGCTCTTTTAACAGTTTATAGCTGCTGCTGTGTCATTCTAATACTTTTAGATCTGCTTTTGTGAACCACAAAATTCTTGTTCGAAGCAGAGGGTGGGATCCAGGAGCATTGCTTTGAAATGGTTTGGGTTCTATTTGACGAAACAAATGTTCTGTGCCAGGCTTGTTAGTTCTGACACAATTTCATGTTGATTGGGTCAAGCTGATCAAAGATGGACCATTCCAAGCAAAAAAGGTCACTTCCTGTTCTCAGGGGGCGGGGCTACGATGATACCACCACATGACCACACAGTATCGTTGGGCATCCCCCCTGGATGGCTCACAGTGAGTTTGGTGTAATTCAGACATTCTATGTGAAAGTTATGGCGTTTCGAAAATGTTGTATCCTCAGCTTCTCCTTTCTGTGGAGTCCCACAAGGCTCAGTTTTAGACCCTCCTCTCTTTTCACTGTACCTCCTTCAGGGTGGCTCGAAAATGATAAAACCTGATATTTCATTTCATTGTTACGCAGATGATAGTCAGATTTATGTGCCTCTTAATCACATACTTTATCCATCTATTTCATCAACTTAAACTAGTTTTATTTAAAACGAAGCAGAACAGGTTATCACAACAACAATCAGTACACATCAGCTGTAAGCCACTGGTCATAAACTTCTGGCTCATCAGGTCTTACCTTGGTGCAGGTCTCTGTGTCGGGGTTACACTGCAGGATGTCTCTCACCATGGTGGCGTTTCCTTTCTCCACGGCCCAATAAAGAGCCGTTTTATTTTCCTACAAAGTCACAAATCCCATCAAAATATTTAATAATTAACATTTTTTTCTGTAAACGACCACGAGGAGATGATTTTAAATCTTACAGAGGGTTTTAAATAAGTTCTTTCTACAAACCTCTGGCTCTTAAATTCGGGTTCAGGACTGAATTACTATCATTTTTTATTGACCGATAAGGTAAAATGATGAGTTTGCATTAATGATTTACATGAAAAATACCCAGAATTCTTTTCACCGTCTAAATTTTTACTCTTTTTGTGAAATATATATATTTTTGTCTGATCAAAGCTATGACTTTTTCTAAACTTATAGATCTAGTCATAGTTTGTTTCATCTGGAAGCTCATTTCTGGCCACGCCCCCTAAGCTCACCTGCCCTCTGATGTCGATGTCGGCGTATTTGTGCAGCAGAGCTCTGACGATCTCCACGTGGCCGCCCCTCACCGCTCCAATCAGCACCGTGTCCCCGCTCTGCAACACACAGCAGCTCGTTAGAGCGTCCTCTGCGGCGGCGCCCGCTCTGCCGGAAAAAACGCCCGAGTCATCGCCTCACCCGGTCGGGGATGTTGACGTACGTCCCCGCGTCCAGCAGGTCCTGGACAATCTCGGTGTGGCCCTCCTTGGCGGCGATCATCAGCGCCGTGTTCCCGTCCTTGTCGGTCATGTTGACGTTGGGGTTCCGCTTCAGCAGCTCCTTCACCACCTTCGTGTAGCCGCCCTTCACCGCCACGATCAGCGCCGTCATGGAGTTCTGAGGACGCCACAGAAACCAGACTTTCCTCAACAGGTTTGCTCTAAACCAGTGAAGTCGTATTAAAGGGATCCCCGGTTAGTTGTAACATTACACTTTATTTGATAAACATTTATTTTAACTGTAAAATAAAGACTGTAAAAATACTGTAGAATGTTCAGTTTTGTAAATTTTTTAAAATATATTTTAACACGGACGGGGCCATTTTATTTACACACAAAGCATTCTGGGTAAATGATGACATGGATAGGTCATCGGTGCGAGGCTGCTAGCGAGCCATATCCACCCTGAAGGTTAATCTTGGACAATATCTGATGATCGACTCTTTTAAATGAAACCAGAGAGCGTTGACAGAGAGGAGAAGGTAGAAATGACTCAGCCTGGAACTGAAAATATGGATGGAGGACAACAGAGCTGCTTCATGGAAGAAGAACYTCAGCTTAGCCTGTTAGCTTTAGCGTTAGCCCCGAAGCTATATTGCCTTATATGTATTAGCTCAGTGCTAGCGCAACAAACTAACAAGCTAAACTGAGGTCCTCCATCCATATTTTCAGTTACAGGCTGAGTCATTTTTGCATTCCCCTCTCTGTCATGTGGATGGAGGACCTCAGTGATGAGAGGAGAATGTGTAGCGTTGAGTTAATACATATATATGGTGATAGCGTCGGGGCTAACGCTAAAGCTAACAGGCTAAGCTGAGGTTCTTCATCCATGAAGCAGCTCTGTTGTCCTCCATCCATATTTTCAGTTCCAGGCTGAGTCATTTCTACCTTCTCCTCTCTGTCAACGCTCTCTGGTTTCATTTAAAAGAGTCGATCATCAGATATTGTCCAAGATTAACCTTCAGGGTGGATATAGCTCGCTAGCAGCCTCGCACCGAGGACCTATCCACGTCATCATTTACCCAGAATGCTTTGTGTGTAAATAAAATGGCTCCGTCCGTGTAATATATTTTTAAACGTTTAGTTAAAAAAATGGTAAAAACTAAACAGCCTACAGTATTTTTACAGTCTTTATTTTACAGTTAAATTATATGTTTATCAAATAAAGTCTAATGTTACAACTAATCATGGATCCTTTAACGGTCTTAACGGTGGCGTTGTGGTGTCGTACCGCCCCCTCCTGGTCAACGTCGGCTCCTTTCTCCAGCAGGTGCATCAGGCAGTCGTAATGTCCCTTCCTGGCCGCCCAGATCAGAGGAGTGGTGCCGTACTGTCGCACAAACAGACAACAACAGTTTGTTTGGAGTTGTTTTCATTTGAGAAGATGAAAAAAGCTTTGTGTTGTTTTTGTTTACCTTATCTGAACAGTTGACTTTGGCGCCGTGATGCAGCAGCAGCTTGACGATCTCCGAGTGACCTCGACCCGCAGCCCAGATGATCGGATAAACGCTGTACTGCTCAGAGAGACCAGGGTGGAAGAGATAAACAACAACAACAACAACAACAACATGCTCCTGTTTGTGTTTCCTGCCTCAATGAGTGAGTGTACCTGACCCGTGGTGTTGGGGTTCCCTCCTTCCTCCAGCAGCAGTTTGGTCACCTCCACACGACCTTTGTAGGACGCCCACATCAGAGCCGTCCAGCCGCCCTGGCACACAAACAATAAACAATAAACAAAAAACCCCAGAAACACAAAGTTTACCTTAATAAAACACAAGAACAGGAGTGTCAGTCATCAGTACAAAATCTAGTTATTTGAACGATAGGAAACAGTTTGTACAGATAAATGATGTAAGATCTAAACTTGGTAATATCACATGTGGAGTAGTCCCTCAGGGTTCTGTACTGGGACCTAAGTTTTTCATTTTATATGTGAATGACTTCGTAAATATGTCAGGACTTTTCAAATGTGTTTTATTTGCTGACGATACAACATTTTTTCTTTTTTTTTTGTTTAGGTAAAGATATAGAAAAAATGTTTGAGATGGTACAGAAAGAATTTGAGAAAATACAAAATTGGTTTCAACAAAACAAATTATCATTAAATTTGGATAAAACAAATTACATGATATTTAGTAACGGGAAGACATCTGTTGATTTTTCATTTAAAGTAGATGGTATTGAGATCTGTAAAGTCAGTGAGGTGAAATTTCTGGGTGTCATCATTGATGACAAGCTGACAGGGAGACCTCACATACATTATTTAAGAACAAAAATATCTAAATCTATTGGAGTACTGTGTAAAGTCAGAGAGTTATTCAATGACAAAGCTCTGCTTGTGTTGTACAATTCAATAACTGTTCCACATTTAATTTACTGTATTGTGTGTGTGTGTTTGTGTGTGAGTGTGTGTGTGTGTGTGTGTGTGTGTGTGTGTGTG